TGATCGCGGGGCGGGAAAAAAGCGCGGGGAGGGGGGAATATAACAAGTGATGCAATTGTACCAAGCCAGTCCTGGCTTTGCTTGTGACTACTACTTTACGCATGAGTAAACCTTCTTTGTGAACCACACGTGTCACGAGAGTTTCTCTGTCGAACGGGGCAAACCTTACACTCTGTGCCTAAGGACAGGAGATGACCTGAAGAGACTGAACAGTATGGAACACCCAAAACTATCTTTCAACCATTTTCTCTCAAAAGCAGTTTAGCAATGTGGTACACACAGATCTATCTTCCAATATTTCTCTATCAAATCTTTCTGACTTGAAACAAAAAGGAAAAATATGGTATTTAGGGATTCTGGAAAAATACTCATTTCCTGGACAAACCTATTATAATATTTCCTGAGAAACAAAACTTCGAATAATGAAACACTTTGGCTTACTCTCTCAAAAATATGTCACTTTACATCAGCTTTCAGAGACATTACCTACATGTATGTAAAGTTGTCTTCATCCTCTGTAACAGACAGAGTTTGTTCCACAGTATTAGGGGGAGCATTGTCTTCAACAAATTGTACAGAGTTGTTCTTTGTAACATCATTCTCCTTTTCTCTTTGGGCATCATTTTCTTCTTTGGGGAAGAATGGAACATGATTTCCAATTCTCCAGTGTTCCTCCTAAAAAAAGATCATAGCGTAAAGGACATATCAAAGAGATATCATCTGTGAACTTTGGAAGACAGCCCTGGCTCACTCTTTCGCCTTCTTCTTTGGAATCTAAAGTGGTAAGAAAGAAAACACAGCAACTATCCTATGGTATTATCTTCCTAAAAATCTTATATTGATCCCTCCTTGATAATCTTTTATAGGCCTTCTATAACAAGAGAAAACTTTCCCTTTTGTATTATCTTTTACGAGATAAAAGTGTCATATCCTAAAGGACAAAGTGGACCTTCAGTGTTGCAAACAGCCTATCGGTACAATACAGGAAAGATTAAGAAAGAATTGATGTGATAAGCCATGAGAGGCTAAGAAAAGGAAATACAGAAATTGTTTAAGATGGATTGGGCAATGTGTTTCTATTGGGGGCTTCATTGCCACAGGATCAGTCTTTGGAGGCTGCCAGTGAGTAATGTGGCCAAAGCAAGATGAAGATGAAACCATGGTTAAACAGATGCAACTATTATTTCTTTCAGATATTTTTTTAAGATACCTCCTCCTCCTCCTCCTTCTCTTTCTCTCTCATTCTCTCTCATTTTCAGAAAACATTTTACCTCCCCAGTTCCCTCCCCACTTCCTGCTTTTTTTATGCTCCTCCCTCAAGAGGGGAAAATAATAATTCCATGATGGAGCAACTGGGATTGATACTACAAAAATGCCTGTTTTTAGCCTCACGAGACTGCTAAAAATAGGTATTCAAAGCAAATGTGATCCAGTGGCTCAGTCATGGATGTTGGAAGGGATTAATCCTCAGGCAAAGAGTTTAGATGACATGAGGTGAGTTAGCTGATCAGAGAAAGTTAGTTTAGGGGGAGCTAGTTTAACATCTGAAAGCCAGTTTGGTGCAGTGGTTATAGGCCCCGTGCTAGAAACTGGGAAACCATGAATTCTAGGCCTTCTTTAGGCACAAAGCTATTTGGGTGACTTCGGGGTAGTCACTGTCTCTCAGCCCTAGGAAGAAGGCAATGACAAACCACTTCCAAAAATGCTGTCAAGAAAACTGCATGGACTTGTCCAGGAAGTCACCAAGAGTCCATAATGACTTGAAGGCAGCCCCCCAAAAAAAGTTTAGTGTCTAGTTTAATCAGGATTAAATGCCTGATTCAATAAGCTGAGATTCAGGAATTGCACGGCAGATGTACCAGCCAACCTGTCCTCTATGAGTCAGTTAAATACTCTTGTTGGATTCCATTTCCAATTCACTGCAAGGCGTTTCAAGCAGATATTCTGCCTTTGTTGCTGTTTGTTAGCAAGCTTCTTCTTCTTATGACCTAACAGAACTTGTTCATGAATTCTTTGTCCAGTGTGGGAAACTCATTCCTCCCTGACGTTTTTAGGACCTGTTTCTATGGTACTTTACATAAGAATAGTCTGACTTCCATCATTGTCATGAAATCCTGGGAAAGCAGCAGATACACCCGAGGGTGGAGCATGCTTCTATTTAATGTAAATGGAGTGGTTTTGAGAAAAGCAGATACCTAAGGAATGCATGAAAGGAACAATACTGTATATTATTATTATTATTATTATTATTATTATTATTATTATTATTATTATTATTATTATTATTATTATTATTATTATTATTATTATTATTATTATTATTATTATTATTATTATTATTATTATTATTATTATTATTATTATTATTATTATTATTATTATTATTATTATTATTATTATTATTATTATTATTATTATTATTATTATTATTATTATTATTATTATTATTATTATTATTATTATTATTATTATTATTATTATTATTATTATTATTATTATTATTATTATTATTATTATTATTATTATTATTATTATTATTATTATTATTATTATTATTATTATTATTATTATTATTATTATTATTATTATTATTATTTCTGTTGTGGTCTTTTCAATAAATCTTCGTAAGTATTTTTTTTTTTTGGTCATGTGATAACAGTTGAACTCAAGGGGTAGAGCACAGTCAAGGTGCTCCGCATTGGTTTAATCACTGCACCTCAAGAAGAGATGGTATTGCTAGAAAGGGCAACTGAAATGTTGAGAAAAGGTTATTATACTTGGGATTTCACAGCTTATTAGAAAAGTGAGTCATAGAGAAATATTGGATATATTGGAAGAAATCTGCTTCTCAGCTCCTCTGTATGATGACCTCCTTGCACTGAGCAGGCTTCTGCTTCACTGACAGCCAGGAGCTGCTGATCTGCCACCTCCCTTCATGAGAGGTGCCTTAAATGTGCTGAGTTCATGAATAGGGGTGTTGAGGTATTGCTAGTATCATGCCAGTTCTGATGCAGCCTTGTAAAAAAATTGATTGGATTTATG